TTAGAACCAGCACTGAGGCCTGTTACATTTATAGTGTTAGAGCAATGGCTGCAACCTACAGCCTTTAAACTAGCGATTAAAATGCTGACGGTAAACTCGTCAGTCCAGATGTTACCACATTACTTTGTGATACTTAGAGTTAAAACAACTGAGACAGGCTGATTAAAATAACAGCTGTCAGTTCTCTCATTCCTTATATCAAGACTGGAGATCACACTACTGATTTCAGTTCATTTAATATGTGAGTGCACAGATTCATTCTCAACTGGACATAAACGATGATCAAAGGTTGTATATATGATGTATTCATCAAATCCCAGCCTCTAACACAGTGCGCTGAATCTTAGCATTGAATGTCCAGTATATTCTAATCAGTGCAATTTAAGCATTCACTGAACCTACAGTATCTACACCTGTGTGGCAAATGTGTTGTAAAGACACAGACAATACACATCAAAAACGAAAGCTGTTTAGTTTAGTACTTTTCTCTGTATGCTCTGTGATTTTAAAGGCCTTAAATTCTGTGATATATACTGTAAATGATTTTCAAAGACGTCTTAAAGTAGTTAAATCACTGCTGATAGTCTGGTTGTTTATACTTTCATGTTTTTGTGTCTGTAGGGCTGTTTGATGACGATTTGGACTCCTCTGGGAGATGAGGACACACCCACATCTGTTCCATACTGCAGCCATTGATGGTGTTACGGCTCTGAGTCAGCTTTGGGCCATCAGACGCATCTACAGGCACTATCACTGGAAATTTCTCCTCCATCTCCACATTAGTATGCTTGTCAAAAACACGCCCTTATAGAGGGAAGGAAGAAACATTTGACAAGGTTTAATGCTTACATATATAGAAAGGAGAGGCAGGAACGTAACAAGACTTCATATGTGAACTGTGCCAGTTCCAGGTGTGGCCCGGTCATGGGGAATGAGACAGGACACAGGAAATACTCTTTTGTGGGCTTTTTTAAAATGTAACTATTCCACTGGCTCAGCCTAAAACAGTCTTTCAGGGTCTGAGACAACAGTAACTATCATATGTACACATTAATTCACGTTAATTCAGACAGTATAAACAACAGTAGTGACCTGTCAAGAAACAAATACAAAAAAAGAGAAAACAAAACAAATAAACACACTGTTTGCATCCCACAATTTCACGGTTCAACTGGCAATAAAGTACACCGTAAACTGTCTTTTAAACATATACATTTCTATGGGAGAACATCATGATCTCACTTCGGTTTCTCTACACAGCCACTGTGCTAGGACAACACACGCAGGAATCACACAGCAAGTGGTGACCGGGCCTTTGCAACTGTGGCACCTAGACTCTGGAATAACCTCCCTGTTCATATTCGTACTGCTGAATCTATCCGTCTTAAATCTTATCTTTTTACTTTGGCTTTTGATTCTAACTAGTTTGCTGTTCTAGCTTGTTGTGTTGTTACCTATTGTTTGTTCTCCTGTTTTATTGTTTGTTTTGCTTTTACTGACTGTGAAGCACAATGGTCAACATTGTTGTTTTAATATGTGCTACATAACTAAATTTCGATTTTGATTTGAAGTGATCTCCCTCCGAATCATAACAGAGAACACTGTCATTACTCACGCCAACCCGCTCTTCAGTCCTTCTCATAGCACGTGACCATTGAACATACACCCGTCGCATGTTCAGAACTGTCTTGTGTAGCTAGCCACAGAATCTTTTGCTCTCCAGTGCTCCCACTCACAGCGCTCAGTGTGCGACACAAACTTGAGTGCATGCTGCTTTGGCTTACGGCATCTCTTGAAGGGACAGTATACCCCCAAAACGCGAGGTCTAGTCATCACCATGACAACCCTACACCAGACCTCTGGTAGACAGGGAACCAGTCAAAAAACAATCCCCTCTTTTTAAACCTTTTCCATGCGTAGTATTATTTCACTTGTTCACTAGTTCACATTCGCGTTCTTATAGGGTTGCCAACTCCCTGAGAAATAAATAAGGGACACCTCGTGGCCAGGGCCGGGCGACCCAGTTGTCTTCACCCTTCCCAGTGTGGGAAATTATTTTTTTAACCATTTGACTTGAATTTGTTTTAAGTAGATGCGTATTCTTTGTGATATCAACACATGGGAAAACAAAAATCATTTAGCCATTTATTTTTAGCTCAAAATGACAACATTAACACAATAAAACAGGTCTCTTTCTTAAACAGAAGCCTGTCATGCTTAACTTTTGAGAATATAAGTAAATCTTTCTTTAAAAGAACTCTGTCCTGCTTAACTTAAAATTATATAAATTAATAGAAAACAATAGAAAGAAAAATATTCTTGTAACAGTGCACATTTAGTGCATTTAGTGCAACTGGCTTCAGTAGAGGCATTATTTCAGCTTTTGCTCCCGTTTGTAAACCCACTTGTTGTTACTCATCTATTTCTTGTAATCATCTATCCTTGCAGTTGTTTATTACACAAAATAAATTATATTATCACA